AATGAAAAAAATAAATCAAATACACACTGTAAAGATGTCCCAATTTCAATTTTAATGGCGCCAGATTAGATCCGAACGGGTACCTGGCGTATAACCATGTGAGAAACTAGCTTTACCAATCACCCAGTAGAACTTACACAAACTAAGCGCCGAAACAACTAAAGGTCGATCACCAATTGGAATGGTTGCAAACAATATTAACAGTCATAAGTTCGAACGCAAATCTCATGCAACTGAGTTGTGAGTAGCGTTCGGAACTCATGGTCACTTTTATTATTGGCAACCATATGAAACTGGTAAAAGCTATGGTCTGAGGACCTCTAGAGGTAGATCGTGAGCGCCATGTTAAAGGAGTACAGTCTGTGGATGAACTGTGACTATAGAAACTGTGACTATAGAAACTATAGAAACTATAGAAACTGTGACTATAGAAACTATAGAAACTGTGACTATAGAAACTATAGAAACTGTGACTATAGAAACTGTGACTATAGAAACTATAGAAACTGTGACTATAGAAACTGTGACTATAGAAACTGTGACTATAGAAGATGCTAGTATATTATGCGTTGGTTGACCATTTATTATCTTACCAAGGTCGTGAAAGTTTAAATTGATTGGTAAAGATAGATTATTTACGATGAGGCTACCCCATATCGCTTGTCGTCTGTTATTACAATAGCTTTAATAACTTTCAAGTCCCACGCCATTTAAACCATAGGGACCTGATTACCAACACAAATATGTCTGATTAGAGTGAATTATAGATGTTTTAAAGGAAACCCAGGAGAGATTAATTCTGGTATATATAATATACTATATCAATTAGACCGTATTCACTTTCTAATCTTATTTCTACCTGGTGGTAAATCAGGGGTAGATAACTCACGTATGCCTATTCTATTCCAAACTTTTGTGTATTGTATTGAATTTTTCGTGACCTTTATAAAATGTCTGATTTTAATTGCAACTGGAATTACGACGCATAGCAAGGATCATATTATATCAAAACGTGATTTGTAAAACGGAATGGAATTCTTTGAATCAACGGCGACTAAGGTACAGTGCATGAGAGCAAGTTTTAATCCTATACAAAATGAAATCTATATTCTACTTTCACTTCCAAATCGCGTTAGATGTGTTCTTTGCCTTCCTAGATGTATTCTTGTGGTGTGACTAACTATGTAAATGTACCCACCTCCACCAGACCTTGTAGAATTCTAACTGTTATAACCATACCATAATGAACTTTGGCTGCAGCTGGTAGAAATAAATTTAGAAATGATGAAATTCCTATAGCTAAACCAAATAACCTGAAATGGTGAAATTGTATATTATTAGTTTTGTTTTTGACTATTTAACCACAAATCACGCGTGTTAACGATCTAATTTGGCAATACATTGGTAGCAACAAATGAACATTTTGAATGAGGAAGCATATCAATTATAAGTGAGTAAGTGATATCAGGTGTCTAGAAGATCGACAGAATTGTCCCTGGTCAACAACAGATTTCTGTGCATCGTTAACAAATACTGAGATATGACATGTTTCATATTTTATATGTCATTTCACAAGAAAGATATGACATATTGGGCGTGTTTTAGGATACGATGTCTTTTGGGGTTAAAAGGTTACCTTGAATACTTAATCACCGATTCTTCAAGGTTGGCCGATCCATAAATGCTTACTTCCCCTCCTACGAAAGTACATTTAATTTGACCTTCAACTCCCCACCAGCTGTTCGATTGATAGGACCCACCCCCTCCCCCCTCCTCCCCCCTCCCAATTCCAGAACTAGTGCATAAGTTCAAATTAAATGCGATGATAAAACACATTGTTCGTTTTATTATAACAGTGATAAAAGCCAGAATGTTGTAATGGGAAGAAATTGGTGAAACAGAACTCGAGGGAAGACTTTTTGTCTGATGTTTCTATTCATTTCTCTACGTCAGTTTTAATTTTATATTTTAAAAGAATAATAAGTATCTAGGGAGGATTATAATATTAGTTTAGTTTGAATTTCCAATATGCAAGCTAATGGTGAAATAGAAGAATACATGTCTACCGGGGCTATACTGGTATTAACAGGAATGTTACATGTAGGTGGACTTCAAGGCCAAATCTAAGTAAGCTTACAATAACGAATAGCCATGCTTGAATCAATCTGATTAAAAGGCAAAGAAGGTTTTAAATGTCTAGTAGTTTTTTATTCTGTGAAAGACTCGACTTGTCATGATCTGACTATATTGTTAAGAACATCCTGTTTAAGGTCATTTTGTTTTCAACCAGCCAAATGCTTTGTTCAGTAAAGGACTTCGTGTTACACGTGAGGAATTCTGGGATATTCATTGATAAGCATTGGCTTGTATAGTCTAACCACATGCCACAGAACACGATTTTAAGAAAAACCCTGTCAGATCATGGATTGTTAGTGAAGTAATCTGCAGAAAAACATAAAACGAACATCGAGATCTACATTTTAATCAGATTGTTATTACCATTGTAAAATAAAGGGGTGCCGATTTAATATTCTGAAAGGTGTACTCGACAGTATAAATTGAGACTAATCATCATTGATGCAAGTATTTATACCAGGGGTTGTCAACCTTTTTTCTTCTATTATCCCTTTCAGAATCCAAGATCAATTGCATTATCTCCCTTTCCCCCTATAAATCCTTATTATTACCCCCCTTATAGATCCTTACTATTACCCCCCTTATAGATCCTTACTATTACCCCCCTTATAGATCCTTACTATTACCCCCCCTATAGATCCTTACTATTACCCCCCTTATAGATCCTTACTATTACCCCCCTTATAGATACTTACTATTACCCCCCTTATAGATCCTTACTATGTTAGATTTTCTCTTAAGTTTTCCCTGCAACCATTTCATCATCTGTCCAGAGGTTTTCTGCCCGACTACAAAATGCCTCACTACAAAAGCCTTAATTAAGACGACTGTAACACTACAACTGTTGTATAATCATTAGAACGTACCTATTAGCTGGTAACCTGGAAGCTAGATAACCTCCCGGTATCTGTGTTATGATGTAACCCCAGAAAAACGAACTGTCCACTATACCAACTGTTTCCGGCGTCCAACTAAACTCTGGTTCTTGCTGCAAAAAACAAACATTAGATAACATTATAATATATTTTATATAACAAACTATTTCTCGAACAAAATTACTTTTTCGCTTCTTTTTTTATAATTTAAATGCGAGACGAAAGTTGTTTAATATCTTTGAACGTGAGCTGAAAATTGTTTCATATTTTGAAATCGTCCAGGACAAATATATTAAATTTAGATGACAACAATACACATAAACACACAGTCGTTTACATTTAAACGGTAGAGAAGCTCATGTAGGAGTCGAAAGGTCGGGCGATTAAAGGTACTGTTGGCAGAAACCAAATCTTTCTGGGGAGAATGGTATAATTAGCACTTATACAAAGTCAAGACAATCCTCTACAGTCTGTCTCTTTAAATTTTATTTCATTTAATCCCATCGCCTGCCACGTAATACCCCTTCAACAGATGTGCCGTGGGAAGAGATAGATCTGCTATGATAATATGGTTTGATTACCAGCTCAGAAACAGTACAATATGATTGTAATGTGATTATATAAAATACTGCGGAAATAAAACGTCAGTATTCAGTCATGCACCAAGGAAGTCAGTGAACGATTTCAATTTTCAATTTTCAGAAAAAACAATAAAATGAAAAATGAAATGAATGGAATGTTACGTAACTACTTTTCTGCACCGTTTTGACCATGCAGGGTGCAATGAGGGAAATTTTGCCAGCACAGCTGCAGCATTATCCTGCTCTTTGTCGAGGGATTTTTAACGTGCACAGCCTGTAGTACACAGAGCTCCAAAACAACAGCAGAAATTTGGTGACAATAAACACCCATCATCTTGTATCGAACGTATCTCACTCAGGGTGTATTGTTTGGTATTATTAAGTTATTATGAGAAGCTAAGGGAAGCTCAATTTCCTATCAGAATAATTCAATAACTCTACATATTAGTATCTATTTGTTTACTTTCAATTTATTTATTATAGTAAGTGACAGTTGGAGATCAGATTAGCGGAGAATAATAGCCGATACTTTATACATTTGTTACTTTAACATTGTTATTTTATTGGAACATGTTCGTTTTATTATTGATAGTCAGTCAAGTGAAGGTTTGGACAAGGTTTTCTAAAATATTTATATGAATCTGCATCATTCCAAGTTTCAGTCAGACGTCTGTAGTTCCTGCAATTCCACTAAAACTAAGTGTTTGATAACGTTACTAATCGCAAAATATGCTTTATCACAAAATAACGTTATTAAACGCTACGTTTTAATGAAATTACAGAAACCACAGATGTCTGATTGAAAATTAGAATGGTTCAAATTAATGCTATTATTGTACATATAAAAAATGTAGAAAATCTCTTTACATACCCTTTAATGTATTGTTGATATATTAGTTTTTCGGATGTAATTTTTTTATGTTCTTCACGACCTAACTTTGAATATTACTTATTCATATTATCTTGACCCTCGACCCCCCTGCCCCCCCCCCCCCACTCCCCCTCTTTCCCCTTACAATGGATCGTCTCTTGGTATGTCTTTATGAGACTTTCTAAACCGTTTCAAGATGAAATGAGTTCAAATGCAAAAAGGTTTTCTTTTTCCAATTTTAGACCAACAGATGTTATTAATGATGTTCAGAATTTACGTTAGATTAAAAAAAAAACAAAAAAATAAAAACAGTATATTATCTCGGTCCACATGTGTTAACTCTACAAATTTGAGTGTAAAATTATTTAGCTTGGAATTGAATATAGCAGTATATTACTTCTATCCTATAATAAAATGGGAATTTTAAAAACATAAACCACATTTTAATGGGAGTCATTAAGTTGGTGTGATTTGGTCGAGGGATTGGAAGAGAATTATATCACAGTAATGAAAATCGCTGTTTTCAGTGAAACAAGAATACTACCGTTAGCAGTCAAGGTATAAAACAAAGTTGGTAATTACTTGACATTGTGAAGATGAGGGGTAGGTAAAGTAATAGAATATTAACAGCCATCATGATCATCTGTACAGTGAAAGAGCGATATTAGTTGTAGATATTTTACATTAAATTGCCAATAACCTGTTTACAAATCTACCTAAGAAAAATTGTAAATATTTGAATAACTAAAGATGTTGTCAGAAGGTCGGTCTGTTAGTATGAAGTTATAACTTATATGATATATTTCTGTTTAAAATCAAGACAGAATCGGAAATTTCATTTGTTTTTTTATTCACAATAAGCACTGGAGAACGATAACAAAAACCCACCAAGTTAACATTGTATTCTAATTCTAATTTGTTTATTTAATGATTAGGTCTAGGGCAGTTGAGAGATCCGATATCAGCAAAATCTGGGGGTACAAACCATTTCCCCTCCATCACCCTGTACCCCCACCCGAGCCGCCACTGGTGTCCGTTGGTGCCAGTTTGACTGTAAGAATAAAATATATCTTACCTGGACAGTAAGGTTGAATTGAGCTTTAGTTTTTGTGTCGCCAGTAAACTGTATAGTCTCATTGGTAGTCATACTTAAAATAGCCACGCCGAGGTTACACCTGATTCCAAACGATAAGATAAATCCTACACTACTTAACAGTGCTATCTGATAACGTTTCGATATATTACATTTAATACACGGGCACCGACTAGGAATATAGGAGGACATTTTCTTTTGAGGTTTCTCCTCCTCTTCAGAATAAGCTTCGTCCAGCTCATCATATTTCACCAGAGATTTCTCATCTTGCTGTTTATGAACTAGTCTGAAATAAAAGAAAAAGAATTGATAAGTACAAAAACCAAGTTACGATTAAAAGATACTGTTACAGTACAGTAAGAGCTAACGATCCGAAACGCTAAGTCAAACCAGAAATCCAAACAACATACTGGTAAAACATTGGTAACAGCTAATGAACTTTTCACTCAATTAAAAATGAGTAAGTATTTCATGATACACAAACTATATGAGTATATCAAGTGTTTTTTATAAAATGAGAAATGGTGAATTGTCAGAAATTGTATTTCAGCATATCTTGTTTTCTGTTATATAGAAAACTAGAAACAAACTAACTAACTGAGACTTGGTGTGGGCTTTTGGCATTTTTTGCCCATGATTTGAATTTTAACAACAAGTCCGACGACATTCAATATCATTGTTGATAAATGATATATTGACACATTATTTTGATACCTGGTCTTACCCTCCCATTAGATAGTGATACTGAAGCCGCTAGTCACCCAAATGGCACAAGTAGATTACAACTGCTAAAAAGCATTATGCTGACTGTTTTATATGGTGGCGACAGATGTTATGTGGCAAAATATAGTAACCATCTTTACATAGACGGGGAAAACATCTGTACCCGCCCTGACAACAGAATAATACAGTATGCTAACTCTTCTAGACATGATAGAACTTTTCAATTTGAAATACTTCTTTATTTGCAATGTTCATTAGCTGCTACCGATGTATTGCCAAATTCTTATTTGGAGTTCGGGTTTCGTTTTGAGGTTTAGATCGTGGGTATTTTCTTATTTATAAACACTACGGAAGTTTGAACTGGAATATGTTAAATCTTATATTTATGATAAAAGATACAGTCTTTCTACTATTTCACAAAAAGTAAAAATTTGTAATTGTTATATAGCCTCAAATATCGTAACGGTAGCCTGTTAAACTTTATAAGAAAACTGGAACTCAGATAGAGTTATAGACGTATATGAGAAATGACACAGCCTTCCTTGGTTTACACAAAAAGTGGAAATTATTCATAGATTATGGAAGGTGAACCTCTCTCAGGGTATATAAAATATCTAAATTTCAATCTAATCTAACAGAATATTTTACATGTCAGCAAAAATACTTTCTATTCTACGGGTTCGAATCTGTTTGATTAATCGTACTTTAGTCTCAGAAATGGGAATTGTTTTTAGGTAAGCTATTCAGTAATAGAGTTCACAGCTCACCATCGAAATTTGTACTTTCAAATCGATGGATGTCCAGAATTATTCGAGTTTCAATGTTAAAATGACGACTCGTCTTTTCTTGAGACTTGGTATTAGAAAGGAAGACTCCGAAATTGGTGAACCGTGGCTTTTTAAACATCTTCGAACACTTTGCCGCTTCATTAAGAAACCACCTTCAGTATAACGACCAGTATTAAATAGACCCTGCCCGCTTGTTATATATAATCTTGTAAAAACTGAGTGATCTATATAGTAAGTTCACTGAAAGACATTTAACATGTTCTTTGAACTGGTCCATTATATTGCTATTATCTCTTATTAATATTTTAAATGGAGAAAAAGTCGATATGGAGACTAGGCCGATCATCCATTCTCTCTTCACTCAATTTGATTTAATAACTCATCTAAATATCACTGCTTTATTTTTCATTTACTAATGGCTTACTCAATTCAATAGTCCATCAGCCTCTTACTGGATAATTCAATTTTATTTTACATGTCATAAACCTAGTAGAATGTTGGAAGAGAAAATTGAAACAATCAGTTTTGACAGCCAAAAAAGATAAAAAAAATAATAAAAAAAAAACACGCATGGAGTGAATCATACTCTCCTAGAGTGTTTTGAATATTTCAGATAGAATCATCTTCCAATATTCAGAAGATTATGTAAATATTTTATTTCGATGTAATACATTGTATGACTTATTATCATTATTTTAATAGATTGAATTGGGAAAGTGTCAAGGGAAGGAAAAAGTGGCTGCGATTGCGAAAATGTCCACGACCTATGTTCTTTGTGTTTCCATATTGATACCTTGATTTTTGTAACATGAAGTGTCTAGAGTTTTTATGATAGGTAATGCCTAGTTCACACCAACGGCGAATGCCGCGCTTTAAATCGGCGAGCAAAGCGCCATCATTTTTTGTTTACTTATCACGATCTCCTAAGTAATGTTACGCTCTGATAAGCTTTGATACAAATTGGTTACGCTTTGGGGACGAATTATTTCCCGATTTGATCAGGCCTTGTTACGCTTTAAATCACGCTTTGATAAGCTTTATTAAGCTTTGATGCGGTATTGACGCTTTAAATCACGCTCTGATACGATTATCAAGCTCTGTTATGCATTGTTAAGCTCTGTTACGCATTGGAAAATTTCGAAATGGCCGATTTCATACCGCTTTTGATCAAGTGGTGACAGAAAACTGAGTCAATCTTTGCTGAACTTTGTTACGCTTTGTTAAGCTTTGATACGTTCTCGGCGCTTTAATCAATTCGTGACAGAGCGCCCAAAATTTTTAAACAATTTAAAATTTTTTGGCGCTCTTGCCGAATATCCAGCTTTGCTCAAAGCTTTCCAACGATCTATTACGACCCTGGCGCTTTAGTCGAGCTTTGTTACGCTTTGGTACCGCTTTGTACGCCGCTTTAAAGCGCCATCAAAGCGCCGTTGGTGTGAACTGAGCATAACGATTGGTGTGGATATTGTAACATTAGTGAACCATGAAACATGAGTGTGAAATTGTCCAGGAATTATGCTGTTTGTGTGACCATATTGATACTTTGATATTGGGAAGATGATTGTAACAAGAAGTGGAGATATAAGAGGATTTGGAAGCGTTCAAGACAAGCTTATCACTCGGAATGACAGTGTTTGAAGATTGTATCGAGATCAGCTAAGACCTCATTTATCAGGCTTCTCTCGCCATAATCGATTCACAAAATACATGTAGAAGAAGACCTTTATTTTACTACTTAAACTTGTCACACTCAGTCGAATTTCTATGAAAATGAATTGAAAGAGAATTAGCTGATAGACTGCCTTAGATTTCAACAATTCAATGACTTTCTTTTCTTTTTAATTACTGTCATTTCTCACAGTTTCTCCTCAACTTTCTTCCATTACTTTTTATCTTTTTGCTTCAATGAAACCTGCCTTTTTCTGTCTGAAGTTTAATGCAAATTTTGACAGTGTATCCTTTCAGAGCCACAAAAAAAAAGAACTGTGACACGAGACGTAAACCTACATTTTATTTTGATGCCGTTCACGTTAAAGGAGGATTCCGCTTTTTTTGTAAAACATTTTCAGTATCAAAAAGGAAGTAAAATATACCTGAAAATATGTCTACAGTATGTATCTACTTGATCAAACTGAGTTTGTTTTAAAAGGGTTAATTAAAAATGGAGAGTACTAATTGTTAATTAAGCAGTTTGACCTAGTTTCGGTTATTAGAAATCTTTATAAAACGTAAGAGACATATTTCTCTACAATTAGGCGTTTATTTTACTCAATCCGTACAGTAGTTTTATAACAGCTTCCAAAAAGCATAACGAACATTAAAAAGTTACGTAACGTGTGTGGCCATGTGCGATCCGTGTGTATATATGTTTATTTCCATCTGCACGAATTAAATCATGTTCGTTTACTCGAATACTTTCAGAACAGTTTGTAAGATTCTGTTTGTTCGTGTATATTCAACTTGTTAATAGATCTGTTAATATAGGAAATGTACCAGAAATGTGATTCACACAATACAATAACAAAACTCAAATATCAGTAGACATAATTCTAGATGTGTATTCTCTATAATATATACAGGTATAAAGGCTTGGTTAGGCTAAAAAATATATTAATGTTTAATTTGTTTTATCACATAGGCCCTTCGCGATTCAAACCCGCAGCACCAGTAGACGACATCCAAACAAGCTCTTCCACTGGTGGTATTTAATTTTACGCTCTGGCTATTTGCATCGTCACGATGCGATGAGTGTTCTCAATTGCTGCTAACAATGGTAGGGATAAGATAAGACGCAATAGGTGCTCTAGTTTTTGGGTTTTTTTAAAGCGTGAAGCCATTTTGATTGTCAAGAATGATATTAAGTGACTTTGTTAGGGTTAGGTAGGGATGGCCATGTGTCTTTTATTGCCCATCTTTGTACCATCGCAGTGCGAATAGCCATGGCCTTTATTTTATTCCGCCAACGTTTAACGTTATGCTAAAGCTCATTAGATATTGCTTCCTATCAACTTGGTTAATATGTTGATTTTATTAAAAGCTTTATTCTTTACAATCGATCTGTATTAAAACATTTCAACATCGGAATTTATAAAAATGTCGGTTTGTATATGGAACAATGGGTTGACTTTGTCATCCTAGAACCCTGGTTCCCAACCTGGGGTGTTTTCACCCCCTGGGGGTGTGGGACAAGGGGACAGGGGTGTGGCCAACTAGTGTGGGAGAAGAATTTATTTTGAGTTGAGAGAGCACCTCACATCATCACATGCTGCAAATGGGGATGAAACAAATTTGGGGGTGTGAAAGGTTCAAGTGATTGAACCTGGGGTGTGACGGCTGAAATAGGTTGGGAACCACTGTCCTGGATGAGTGGCGTTTCTATGAAACATAAGATGAGAGGGGTGAGCAGCAGCCGAGCAGGGGCCGAGCAAAATGTGTCCATCTATCTACCTGTTGGTGAGCATGGCATGATTCCATTGCTCACAATCTTTGTTACTCTTGCTCTTATTCGCTTTTCCAGTCTGACATTTAAAATAGGCTCTGTAATGAAGAGACTTTCACAAATATTATAAAATAAATAAAGATAATTTATATAAAAAAATCAAATTTCCACGTCATATTTACACTTCTCTCTGTCTTAATGTTATTCGACTAATTTGTTATGTTACATTACAGTTATAACTT